ATGTAAATAATGATGCTGTAATGTGTTATGTGTGTGGATGTCTCTATGACTGGATTCCTATGCAAAAGCAAAAGTATCCGCTTTGACAATATAAGACAACCAATATTGACCACTGGAACAAGCAATATATACATCCACAGCAGATTACTTGCGAAGTAACCGCTATATAGTAATACACTAACACTAACCTTTGCTCCATAAGCGTTAGCGTTGCTAGCGCACGTTTTACGCTTTCTGGATCGCGAGTTTCCTTGCACGCGTCTCTCTCTGCCTCCAGAAATTGCATATACACTAACGGCGTCACTTCTCTGCGAAGAGATATCCATAGGTCTGTGTGATGATTGGCAAACAATATACGATATTAGGGGGGCAAGTCTAGAGCCATTGTATACAATAAACAGAAAATGTGTGTGTACAACCACTGGTGCTTCTCTCCTCTCCGCCCCCATAATTATATCGTGATGGGGCACATAATAACATAATATAGATACACAGTAGTAGGTGTGAGTAATAACATAATATAGATACACAGTAGTAGGTGTGGGTGAGTGTGTAGTGAGCATAACAACATACATACATACTATCCATATTATCCATAACCTGGCAACCTTCAGAACAGACCATTGATGCCAATACAATCATGTACAAATGGGAAGCCTGCGCAGCCTATCCTCAGACACGGATACATCCCCATACATATACACCCATACGACGACACCAGCAAACGTGTGCCACATCTTTCCCCATCGTAAAAGAGGTCAGATAGACAGGTCGTACGCCCACAGACAGTCCGACTACATACTAATTGTTCTCTTACCATCAGGTTCTGGCATGTCACAATCGCAGAGCAACAACCCACACAGCTTGAATCAGCCACATTCGCGACCGCATACTGATCTGTACGGGTCCCCCGCTCATCGATTTCTGCCCACACTCTCAAAACCCTAAACTCTAAACCCTGAACCCTAAAACGGATGCACGGCAATGGCCAAGCCTTCCCTACAACTACCCACAGTTTAATGCGTGTGACATGTACATACCAACCGTATCGTGAGCACCCTGTACATCGCCGTTATGCAATTGGATATCCAACAACAGAGACAACGTATAGCGGTCTGGTTTTACCCCGTAGTCCTGCGTATGGAAGACGGGATCAACATTACGACTGATGTAAGATGCTGTCGGCATATTATACATCCTGTAATCGACATGAGCGTATCGTAGACATTTTCGTAAACACTTCAGTCGGAAAACAAGAGAACCAGTATGAAGATACGGAAACACGACTACGGTACGAGTAAACATAACGGTGAGCTTGTCCAGATATATAACTCCGATCGAAAATATGCACTGAGTGTACACATAAACATCTAACGTACTAACGATCAAACTACTCAGAAAGTCACACAACAATAAAGCGAAGGTAGCCCAAGGTAAGAAAACTTTATTTTGACCACTATTTTGGCAAGAATATTCTACCGGTTGGTCAATTTATGAGTCTATACACAATTAATAATCCCAACCAACAATTGCACACTCCTCAGCTGGTAGAATGGCTCTGCAGCCTGGTTACACTGCCACACAAACCCCCACGGCGTCACCTAAGCAGAGCAGACACACTCAGTGACGCTCGCCAGGTTAACGTTATGACATACTTTGATAATCACCTTCTCAATGGCAAATGCCAGGCATACGACTCTTCACTGTATCACATACCTTAATAAACACCTTGTATAAGGCAAAGGCCAGGTACTCATCGTAGTTGTATTTGACAGCCAGTTTTAACATCGAGTTGAACGTTATTGTGTCGGGCTGTACATTGTTTTCATCCATGACCACAATCACCTGTGGCATTTTAAGCGAAGAGAGTCAGGAATGGCTTAACGGCCCCGAGCGAGTGTGTGTAACAGAGCCGGTGAAGCACCGCCACAGCACACACACCCTGTCACATTGAAAGAACATACGTGTTTCTATGCCCACCTGTGACCTGAGTGTATCGCAATAAAAACATACCAATATGCAGTAGTAGTAATATAACCTGTACATTCAAATCATGCACCTGCTAAAATATCTAAAAGGCGTACTACAATGACCTGCAGACCAAGCTTCCTGCTATATGGTTGTTTCAGGAGTGTTGTGCTGTGCGCGTAGTAAGCGACACACAGCCCACCGTGACCGCACCCGCAGAACGCAAGTCCCTGCAAAGGTCAGGCCATCCGCATGACACAATACAGACAGTGTGCAGGCTGATGGTGGGGCATGCCCCTGGATTGGAATGAGGAACTTCACTATAATCAACTAAGACCCTAAAACCCTAAAACTCACAGATATGACGTTGTACAGAAGACTGCACGATTATATTTGAGTGCGTGTGCCGCGTGCGTGTCCATAACTCGCCCTCGGCTTACTACACACTCCGAACTATAGCGAAGGGAATACATACCCTCTCCATGTAACTTGGGATATCTATGCTTACTACACACTCTGAACTGCAGCGAAAGGAACACGTACCTTCTCCATGTAACTTGGGTTATCCATGCTTAATACACACTCCGAACTATAGCGAAGGGAATACATACCTTCTCCATGTAACTTGGGTTATCCATGCTTACTACACACTCCGAACTTGCGAAAGGAATACATACCCTCTCCATGTAACGTAGGTTATCCATCTCGACGCAGTTGTTGATGATGGTGTTGAACGTGCTGATGTTCGGTGTCAACTCGTCCTCAAACATAATCGAAAGCGTGTCCATTACGACCTTAGCTTTCTGTTTAGTCTTGAATAGTATATCTATGTAGCTGTTGTATATGACAAGATTCGCCTGTGTAACGAGAGGATATAAAAGGATAAATCAGACGCCATTCCACAGCAAACTAGGGTACAGACGAGTGCAAGTCACTAATCAGCGAGATAGACTGGCCGGTTTGTTACTTTATTACTCCCGTCTATTTTGAATCGTAGCAAGCAGAACAACAATATAATTTCGATCAAGATCGCTCCCGAAAGTCCAATAAACTCCATATTATAGGTATGGCCATACGTACTTGCATACTAACATATACATATTTCTATACATAAATGGATATACGCCTATACATGTATTTATGCCACAACACTCACTTGATAAACATATATACAACCACGTGAATATGGAAATAAACATACATATATATATATACATATACATATATATATATATATATATATATATANATATATATATATATTATTATAT